AGGGTAACCCTAGTGCTAGGGTTACCCTGGCAGGAGGGTTACCCTAACGCTCCCACATTTCTTCTTTTTTTCATCGACGTGTTTACAAAGCAGCTAGGGTTACCCTAGCTCTAGGGTAACCCTAGCTGAGCGCTAGGGTTACCCTAGTGCTAGGGTAACTCTAGCTGCCTTGTAAACGCTCTGGTGGGGATAACTCGCCTACCCGGGACAACTTTTTACTTGTTTCCAGACCCTTTGAACATTGATAACAATGCGTGCGGTTACCAAGCATAGGTAAGTTGTCCATGTCCCGGGTGATAGGGTAACCCTATCTGTGAAATTTTGCTTGTAAACCCGGGCTATCTTTGACCCGCCTGCTAGGGTAACCCAAGCACAAGGGTTACCCTCCTTGCTTGTAAATAGGGCCTAAGTCACCGCTTCTAGTCTGGAATGAAGTGCACTTGCTCTGATAAAACACAACTAACTACTGTGTTACTAAGATAAAGAAAATATGATGCTTTATTACATGTAACAAGAAATATATGGTTTTGGTTTTTGGACTAGTTTTGTGTTTTTTATTTTTAAGCAGGCATTAAGAAAAAGTAGCATAATTTTCAAAAACGAGCATAATTTTGAGCATAATTTGGAATAAATCGGGCACTGCTAGTAGCATAATATGCTACTTTTACTAGCACAATCGATAAGGACCTAGACAGCAGTGAAAACATCCTAAGTTAGAAGAGCAACAGTGAATATATGACTGCTTCGCTTGTGAAAAGAATATAACACAGCAAAGTTTTAACTCAAGTGATCTCCTTACAGGTAGTTTTCACTGTGGAGACATCTTACCGGACTCAGAAAGAACACTTGGTGAGAAAAAGAGATGAGGGTCCACAGAAGTCTCATTCTTTTTATACCAATGCGATAATACCGTAGGGTACCGAAACAAAAAGGTTTTTTATTTCTCTTCCCCACCCCCCTCTATCCTCTTGCGTTCGCGTTCGACTGGGTGATCACTGTGGAGGAAATAGGTCTGTGAGCAGATTAAAGTCACTTAACTTAGATAGCAGAAAGGTATGTGATCGGTGATTTAGTAAAATGCGTTGTAAGTCTACCATCCTTTCTTTCTTATAGTTTGCAGTGTCAGTATCAGCGTTTCTTCGTTCATTTGTTTGTTCGTTTCGGATGAGGCAAGGAAAATGCCAAGGTCATAGTTTGATGTAAGCTTTTGATTTGCGAAATTAAAAATATACCAAGGAATTGGACCTTCCAAACTCACAAAGTACAATAAGCATTGAAAAGTGGAAGAACCTTAAAAGTTAAGTGATGGGTTTCCATGAAATGGGTATGGCTATCTTCTTCATTTCAGGTGGTCGAATGTTCCACACTGCAACAAGATTAAAAGATGATAATATTCTACTATATGGTGGGCGAAAATCTCCATCGAATCCATGTGAAGAAACAATTCTATTATCACTGCACAACAAGCATGAAACAAAGCCTTTACTTTGTACAGAAGATGATTTTACCTCCCGTGTGGAGTTTTCAGAAACAAGATATAAGCAAACTATTTTCACTTGTCAAGGAGATATACCACAACTAAGGTGGCGACACACAGCAACACATGTCACCCTTCCTGATGGTAACCACGTACTCTTTGTCTTCGTCTTTTGAACACAAGAGCGACCGAAAATTGAACACGTATCATGATAAGTATTCGAGTTATCTGACGTTAGGAATTGTTCGAGCTGTTTCAAGGTCAATTTATGCTTTCGAACTGTAATTTACCCGGGCAATTGTCAGGTCTTGTACGAAAAATAAAACATTTTTTAATGATCGCAAAAAATAAGACGGCCTTCAATTTTGCTTTACCTTCAGCTTGCCTTTAATGTCGATTGACATAAAAGCAGATACTGTTAGAAGTTTGCCATGCCCTAAAGTCTGCCAGACAAGTTCCTATAGCGGGGTAGTGGCTTATCGTTCGCCTTGCTTTTAATGTCGATTGTAATAAAGGCAGAACAGTTTGCCATGCCGTAAAGTCTGCAGTGCAAGTTCCCAGGGGATGTTGGGTCGAAAACTTTGCTATTTTGCTGTTTCTTTTCTCCCCTACCAGTCCCAATCTGCTCACGCTAAATAAACATTGGACTGACTGCGGTCCAACCCTGCTCTTAATTAATGAATTCAACGTTATCTTTACAGGAAGTGAAAACGTGCTGATATTTGGTGGACGTTCTTCCTCGTGCCTTGCTCTTGGAGAGTGCTATTTACTCAATACAAAATCAAAAACATGGAAAAAGGTACAGACCGACCTACACTGGTTTTGACAAAGTAAGAGAACTCATCATGTAGTCGGAAAAGTCAGTCACAAAGAAGCTAATAAGCATGATAATAAGCATAATAAGCATAATAATAAGCATAATAATAAGCATAATAAGCATAATAATAAGCATAATAAGCATAATAATAAGCATAATAATAAGCATAATAAGCATAATAATAAGCATAATAAGCATAATAATAAGCATAATAAGCTAATAAGCATAATAATAAGCATAATAAGCCAATAAGCATAATAATAAGCATAGTAAGCATAATAAGCATAATAATAAGCATAATAAGCTAATAAGCATGCTATACCTTACCGAAAAAGTGTGTCTGTGCTGGTTTCAATTTTACTATAAAAATAATTTTAATGAGAAGTCCGTTTCACTTTAATTCCCAGTTCGCCATAAGAGGAGATGCCGCTGCCCCGCGTCATTCTCATACTGCATGCGTATGGGACAATCATGTGGTACTGGCTGGAGGCCTGGACGCCGGTCTCCAAGCCTTGAGCATTGTTCAAATCATGGAAATTGATGTACGGAGAATTTTATATTTTTTTATCTTGACTGTTTAAGTAGATTTATCACGTGGTACAAAACGGGACAAACCGACAATCACAGCAGTTTAGTAACCTTATTAAAAGGGCTTTGAAGGTTTAAAATGGCAATAAGCCTTGCGCTTGTAAGGTTTTATTGGTCATACGTATGAAAAATTGGCAAGATACATGCATCTGTTTGCTATTATTCAAATGTTGAAGACAGTTATTTTGCTTCCAATTCTGTCTCATTCATCATCAGGGAGAAACGCCACAACAACCACTGGCATGTTCAAACTTCATTTTGTAAACATCTTATAATGGCCATATTTCCTTGCAGGTAAATTCTGTAAAGCTACGGACACTTTCTGTTGATCCTCCTTTACCACCGAGGTACATACGTGGACGCTGATACAAACACTGTGAAATACGTGGACACTGATACAAACACTGTGAAATAGCA